TGTAGTAATTTTATAGTTGCTAAGTAAACAAAACTACAGTAATATAAACAACTGAGCAAATGCTGTATTTGTCTACAACTAGGCTGTAGGGTACACCGCAGTTTACTGTAGTAAAAAATAAAGTATACTACATACCCATTAAAGAGTTGTATACAGTATAATACACTTTACTATAGCACAAAAGCCAAGTGTTTACTATAATTTACTAATTTACAGTGTTTTTTCATCATGGCTGAAACTCACCAGGGCTCCTGTAGTGACGCAGGTTTGCTGTGCCGCTATAAAACTGACTCGTAATTCCCGCCATCATCTGAAGGATCCACAGATCATGAAGTCTCACATTAAATCAGAAGATTGATATAAAGTTTTTAAATGATGACCGGCCGGCGTTCATGAGTTGAGGAACGGACCGTCAGAGCCGAACACACACAAAGCTACTCAGCAGAGCAGAACACTCGCAGAGATTATAGAGTGATTACAGCAGCGCGCGCGCGTGTGTGTGTGTGTGTGCGTGCAAAGCCTGCCCCTTTAAAGCCTTTAATGACAGCTGTCATTTGTTGTGTGCTGATTTATAAACGCCATAGATGCAGAATAAAACCCCTGATCCTCAAATGAAACCGATTTTAAAGGACAAAAGTTTAGACATCCATCAGACATGCGCGAATGACCGGGTTCATTATATTGGCCTATGTCTGTCAGAAAGACGTGTGATGTTTATAGGAGACTATTGGTAGTTTCTTGCTGATATTCACAGTGTTGTACTCTCAAAAACTTACAAAACACATGCAACAAAAGTTACCGTCCGAAACGCGAGCAACAGCGACACCGCGTGGACGCTAAATGATCCTGCTTCGCAATATTTATACTCGGCTCTATCGCAGGGGTGTCCAAACTCGGTCCTGGAGGGCCGGTGTCCTGCAGATTTTAGCTCAGACTTGCCTCAACACACCTGCATGGTTGTTTCTAGAAGGCCTGATAAGAGCTTGATTAGCTAGTTCAGGTGTGTCTGATTGTGTTTGGACTTTGCAGGACACCGGCCCTCCAAGACCGAGTTTGGACACCCCTGTTCTAAAGGTTTGTACTTTTTTGTGAAGAATATCTGCATACTTTTGAGTGTGAAATTGCAAACTTTAGGACAAACTACTTCGTCTTTAGCACACCGTTCTGTCGCTTAATTACGAGACCTGTCAATCATCTCCACACATCACCCACATTTCTGTGATAATAAATTAACTATTGTTGTAGATCAGCAGGTTAATCTGCCTTTCACGAGTCTTTCATGCAGAGAAATCTCCTCAGTGTTTGGATAATTAGCTACGCATTCAGAAGGTAATGTCCAAATGAATGACTGTAAATCACTAATATAATATTCACAGAAATGTTCACAGTATGTCTGATAATATTTGATCTTCTGGAGAAAGTCTTATTTGTTTTATTTCGGCTAGAACCCATCTCTGGAAAACATACACACACACACACACACACACACACACACACACACAAACAATACAGAAAATTTAGCGCATGTGTTTGGACTGTGGGGGAAACCGGAGCACCCGGAGGAAACCCACGCCAACACGGGGAGAACATGCAAACTCCACACAGAAACACCAACTGACCCAGCTGAGACTCGAACCAGAGACCTCCACAGCTGTATGTACTGTAGTGTTTCCACCTTATTTTGCAAATATGTTAATGTATTATATTAATGTATTATTATATGTGATATAATAATATTTATCTGCAGAGGGGTAAATTAATGAAAATAATAAGTAAGCGGTCAAACTTACTGCACTATAACAAGTGTGTTTATGACAATACATTTGCATAGTTTGCAAAATCAATGGAGGTGAATGAGGCAAGATCTTTTTATACTGTATATTGATATTAATGCTTCTTTAATACACATTTCTCTTGATTCATTTACTTATTTAACTTTTAATATATATATATATACACACACACACACACACACACACACACGCACACACATATATATATATACATATATACACACATATATATACATATATATATATATATATATATATATATATATATATATATATATATATATATATATATATATATATATATATATATATATATATATATGGTTGTATTGTAATTTATTGTTAATGTTGAAGATTGTAAATTTAAATCCACATCCACTAGTGGGCACTGTCAGCTAATCGCGTAGGCAAAGGCCAGAAGGGATACAGCTGCAATACGCACATTACAGCACAATAATAGCGGCTTTTACATTACGGTGAAGGTTGTATTATGGTTGCGGTAAACGTTAATAAACTGCAATTTATTAGGTAATTTAATAAATATTATAAATATCAAAACTTCTGTCTGCAGCTGTATCCCTTCTAGCCACAAGTATGAAAGTACAAGGTGTTGCATTTTCATTCATTCATTTTCTTTTTCAGCGTAGTCCCTTTATTAATCTGGGGTTGCCACAGAAGAATGAACCGCCAACTTATCCAGCATATGTTTTTATGCAGCGGATGCCCTTCCAGCCACAACCCATCTCTGGGAAACATCCACACACACTCATTCACACTCATACACTACGGACAATTTACCCTACCCAATTCCCCTGAACCACATGTGTTTGGACTGTGGGGGAAACCAGAGCACCAGGAGGAAACCCACGCCAACACGGCGAGAACATGCAAACTCCACACAGAAACGCCAACTGACCCAGCCGAGACTCGAACCAGCGACCTTCTTGCTGTAAGGGGACAGCACTACCTACTGCGCCAATGCGTCGCCCAAATTCAAATTAAGAATTTGAAAATTCAGATTTATTTAATTCCTATTGTCAATAAGTCAAATCAACACAATTCAAATTCAGATTGTTTTGGCATGATATTAGCTCCATACTCGTAGGACTATCTGTCACATCCGTCAGTGACCACCTGAGGGCGCAGTAGTGCATCAGGACTCAGTTAGCACTACAGCGTCCCAGAAGGACTACAATTCCATACATACCACGCGCATACACCGGAACACTTACACTGACCCGTCATCTCATCTGTTCTGTGTTACCGTTGATTATCTGGACTATTAATACAACCATTCCACCTCTATTTGTCATCGCGCCGTTTGTCTTCCTTGTCTTTCCTGCCGCAGTGTTTCTAGTAAGTCTAGTATTCGAGTTTTGATTCCTGAGCCCTGTCTCTGTTTTATGTTTTGTTGTTTATTTGTACTTTGAGCACCTTGTTTCTCTGTTGATGCGCACTGTAAATAAACCGCACTTGGATCTGCACCTTTTTGTTTTCGTTCCAATCACTCATAACATGACAGAACGACCAACTCGCGAAATGAATCCAACAGATGAGATGACGGGTCATGGGGTATATGTCGAAGCATGCTAATAGGACTTTTAATTCGCCAGTAACCTGGGTTAAGCGCTTCCGGCGAATTGAATGCCAATGCAAAATCCGGTGCGTTTAAGGTTGGTTTTCTTTAAAAATCAGCGATCTCCACTGGCTGAGTGATATCCGATTTAAAGTAGGTCTCAGATTGTAGAAGAAGCACTGCATTACATTACATTTCCCCCGCCATGTCTTTATAATATGAGCATTTATTTTACCGCAGTATATTCAATAGAGCTTCTGTGACAGCCTGCCGATTCTGATCGGCGCGTGTGAGTAAACGGCTTTTTGTCTCATTTTATGCTTGAGCAGCTAAATAAATGCCAAAGTTTATTTAACTGAATGTATTTTAATGACCTTACAACATCGATGCTGTATAAGGAACCGTATAAAATGGAAAAAAGTTCACAATAACAGCTCACCGGAAGTGTATCAGCATGAGAACTGCACTAGCTCGGCATATACCCTATTGTACAACCCGGGCTCATTGTGGAAACGTAGCCCCGCGGACGTTTCTGCGGACCGCGATTTACGTCCCGGGAGGTACGTATTCGAGCGTTTTTTGGTTTTCGCGGATCCGCAAGAGGCCGCTTTCGCGTCTCGGGCGGGCGCCTCTCGGGAGCGCGCAGCGTTCGCGCCCGCGCCGTTCTCGCACCAATAGCCGCCGGATCGAAAAAAAAAATAAAAAAAAGTAAAAGCCCCTCGTCTTCGATTTCGACCGCGTTTTCGGATCCCGCCACGTTCTCGCCCTTATTTTCCGGATTCCGTTTTTCATCTTACCTGATTTCCGGAACCCGCCGCTCCCCGGACTCGATCCCGGTCGTCGTCCACCGCGGCCGGCTCCGGCTCGTCCTCCTCCGGGGCCTCCGCTCCGCCGACGCAACGCTGTGAGCTAGGCGAGCAAACTGATTGCGTCAGGACAGCCCTCCACCAAACGCGGCCTTTACGTACCTCCGGCCACGTAAATCACGGCCTCCAGAAACGTCCGCGGGGCTACGTTTCCAGAATGAGCTTGGGTTGCTATTGTAAGTGTTCCGGTGTATGCGCGTGGTAGGTATGTAATTGTAGTCCTTCTGGGACGCTGTAGTGCTATCTGAGTCCTGATGCACTACAGCGCCCTCAGGTGGTCACTGACGGATGTGTCACTATCATGCAGAGAAATCTGCATTCAGAAGTCAATGACCACATGCGACTTTATAAAAGTTCACAGTAATGTTGCAGGTTAAATAACGGGTATATAAAATACATATTTTAAATTTCATATTATAGATCAGGTTAGATTTTAATTAAAAATCCTTCAAATCATCTGTAACTAAACCTAGACCTTTCACCGTTGCTCTCTTGCGTCCGCCATGTTTGTAGTTTAACACGTTTTCCTGTATTTGTAGGTGACGTCTCATGTAAATATCCACGAAAGTAAATTATATTCACACCAAAACAAAAACCCTAGCATTAAAGAAATGAGCACACAGTAATTCACAGGTTTCAGAGGTGGATTCTGATCGGCTGATTGGCTGATTAGTGTTTTCTGTGGGTGATAATGATTCTCAGGGTTGTTTTTGCTGTAGTTTGTACATTATTATTCACACGATTATTAAAACACAAACACTGTAGTTACTGTTTGTAAATAATCTTTAATACATTTGATTCATTGAGTTCTGAAGACGGCACATTTATAACAAACACTCACTATTACAGCATCTTTAAAGAGGACGCAGCAGGGTATATACATATATATGGACAGAAGACAACATGCTGTGAAAACGAGAAGAAAAGTGTGTATTATACAGGTGTGTGTGTGTTATATGTTATATACATGTGAATGTGTGTGTCAGTTGTAGCTGTCATTGTGCAGTATGGTGTGTGTGTGTGTGTCAGTTGTAGCTGCCTATGCGCTGTGTGTATGTCATGTGTAGCTGTCTTTGTCGCTGGTTGTGTGTGTGTGTGTGTGTCAGTTGCATGTCAGGTGTGTGAGTGTGTGTGTGTGTGTGTGTCAGTTGTAGCTGTCCTTGCGCTGGTTGTGTTCTGGACTCTTGTATTGTAGGCTGGTGGCGTTGAGTGGAGCGCCGCTGCCCATCAGAGACCCGTCTGAGTAACACCAGCAGCACAGACACGACTGAGGAGAGACCACACACACATGAGATGAGACACACACACACACACACACACACACACAAATATATAGTCAAACACACATACACATTTGAGTGTTTAACGTAAATTAAATTAACACACACACATTCACACACACACATAAATATATAGTCAAACACACATACACATTTGAGTGTTTAATGTAAATTAACTTAACACACACACACATACACACGCACACACATAAATATATAGTCAAACACACATACAAATTTGAGTGTTTAACGTAAATTAACTTAACACACACACACACATACACACACACACACATAAATATATAGTCAAACACACATACACATTTGAGTGTTTAACGTAAATTAACTTAACACACACACACACATACACACGCACACACATAAATATATAGTCAAACACACATACACATTTGAGTGTTTAACGTAAATTAACTTAACACACACACATACACACGCACACACATAAATATATAGTCAAACACACATACACATTTGAGTGTTTAACGTAAATTAACTTCACACACACACACATACACACGCACACACATAAATATATAGTCAAACACACATACACATTTGAGTGTTTAACGTAAATTAACTTCACACACACACACATACACACGCACACACATAATATATAGTCAAACACACATACACATTTGAGTGTTTAACGTAAATTAACTTAACACACACACATACACACGCACACACATAAATATATAGTCAAACACACATACACATTTGAGTGTTTAACGTAAATTAACTTCACACACACACACATACACACACACACACATAATATATAGTCAAACACACATACACATTTGAGTGTTTAACGTAAATTAACTTCACACACACACACATACACACGCACACACATAATATATAGTCAAACACACATACACATTTGAGTGTTTAACGTAAATTAACTTCACACACACACACACATACACACGCACACACATAAATATATAGTCAAACACACATACACATTTGAGTGTTTAACGTAAATTAACTTAACACACACACATACACACGCACACACATAAATATATAGTCAAACACACATACACATTTGAGTGTTTAACGTAAATTAACTTCACACACACACACATACACACGCACACACATAAATATATAGTCAAACACACATACACATTTGAGTGTTTAACGTAAATTAACTTCACACACACACACACACACACACACACACACATAAATATATAGTCAAACACACATACACATTTGAGTTTTTAACGTAAATTAACTTAACACACACACATACACACGCACACACACAAATATATAGTCAAACACACATACACATTTGAGTGTTTAACGTAAATTAACTTCACACACACACACACACACACACACACACACACACACACACACACACACACACACACACACACACATACACCCGCACACACATAAATATATAGTCAAACACACATACACATTTGAGTGTTTGACGTAAATTAACTTCACACACACACACACACACACACACATAAATATATAGTCAAACACACATACACATTTAAGTGTTTAACGTAAATTAACTTAACACACACACACACACACACACACACACACACACATACATACACACGCACACACATAAATATATAGTCAAACACACATACACATTTAAGTGTTATACGTAAATTAACTTAACACACACACACACACACACACATATATATATATTACTGTTGAGCCGTTATCGGCATTAACGTGTTGCGTTAACATGAGACTCTTATTGCGCGATTACAAAAAAAAATCTCCGTTAATCTATTTTGAAAGTTGGGTTGGGATCTGGGTCTATACTACGCAAGCTATGATGACTTTCACCTTGATATTTTAGCGCGGATGTATACCTGACCGGTGAGCCGTCTGACAAAACAGTGCCCTTCTGAATCAAACCAGCAGGATGCCTGACTTTAACTGCAGGTCGGCAGTTTCCACTTTAACTCACGTACATTTAATTCATGCCCCCGTGACAAACTGCGATATTAAAGCTCGTACACACTGGGACACTTTTCGTTTGCGTTTATCGTCAGGGTTTTTCAAGACGATTTTCCGGATTCAAACCCAAGCAATTTTCTCTAGTGGCAAGCTGAAGAGTGTGCAAAATCACTCCTTGACATTAGATGGCGCTACACAACTTTAAGCTTCTGACACCCGCTTCTAACAAAGAAGAAGACAGAAAGTCGACACGCTTGTTGTTATGGATGGTTCGAGTAGCAGCTCCATCTCTAGTGATGAGCAGCTCCACGTTCATATCGTCTCTAGGCATCTTCTACAATGTGCGCTCGTATTGACAGTTTTTCGCTTGAGCGCCTCCAAGTGCTGTTTACTGTAACTTCAGCAGCTCCGTGGACGTCAACAAAAGTGCTGTCCTGATTGGTGGAGAAGGTTTTAACGCGGCGCGTCAAATTAAAAAACGAGCATAAATGCCCGTGCACACCGAGACGTTTTTTGCTCGCGTTTTCCGTCTACGTTTAACGCCTCGTGACTAAATAAAGGCCGTCAATGTGATCGTGCACACCAACGCGCAAAACGGCAGGCGCAAAAGCGTAATTAAAAAAAAAAAACGCCTCATGCTTGTTTTTTTTTATTCGACGCGCCGTGTTAAAAATCTTCTCCACCAATCAGGTCAGCTCTTTTGTTCACGTGCACGGAGCTGTTGAAGTTACAGGAAACAGCACTTGGGGGCGCTCAAGCGCAAAACTGTCAATGCAAGCGCACATTGAAGATGCCCAGACGAATATGAACGTGGAGCTGCTTATTGCTGAACAATAATCATTTCTTCACCGCTAGAGCTGGAGCTGCTGCTTGAACCATCCATGCTTGTTCGAGTCACCAGTAACTTTAACAACAAGTGTGTGAACTTCCTCTCCTCCTCTTCTTCTGTGTTATAAGTGGGCGTCAGAAGCTTAAAGTTGTGTAGCGCCATCTAACGTCAAGAAATGATTTAGCATACTCTTCAGCTTGACGCCAGTGAAAATCGTTTGGGTTTGAATGCTGAAAAACGTCCCGTAGAACGCAAACGAAAAGCGTCCCGGTGTGTACGAGCCTTTAGATGCAAATAAGGAGTAGGGACTGGTGAGAGTGTTATTGAATTTAATAACGCATGATTTCAACTCTCCTTGACGCCCACATCGGCGAAGATGCGCCACGCGGCTCCTCGCCGCCGGCTCTCACTTCCGGCTACTTTGACGCTTTTGCCACTTTCGGTATGAACTTATGGTAATAGTCTGATTGCAGTGTTTACTTCAATAACACCACTAATACATGTCATGACTCCACATGTCTAAACTCCATTTCTGTTCAGTTCAGTGATGACTTTAGTCAGATTAAAGTCATCAGAAATGGCTGTTTGGAGCTTATGTAGGCCCACAGCTCAACAGTCATGTGTAACTGAATAAACAGTGAGTAAACACAAGCACATCTTATTAAACTACATTTACTTTCATCATCAATTATCACAGTAGAACAGATCCTACAACAGTTTGTGATGCATTTTGGAAATAGGAGATGAGCCCCTGGTCTAATGCGCCACCTGGCTTGAGAAACCTGTTTTATTTACACAGCACACATATTGTGAATGCAGCAGAATTCAAATGAGCCATTTCAATCTAGATTAACTCCAAGATTAGAGTGAGATTAATCTAGATTAATAAAATTTATCTATGCCCACCTATTATATATATATATGTCTATGTATATGTGTGTTGATGACTGAAACACAGACACTCAAACACACACAAAGGCATACACACTGACTGAGAAACACATACATACATACAGTATATAAATATGTAGACAAACACACACTCACACACATACATACATACACACATATTTATATGTACACAGAGACATTTAAACACACATACATGCATATAAACACTCACAAACTGCTTTCATTTAGGATTTTTTTTGTAAACTTTAAATAAGTGACTAAATTCTGAAATATTTAAAATTTTTAGATATTTTGAGAGCAGATTTTTGATCCAATACTTAAAATTGAACATTACATTTAACATGAAACTGACGTGTGTGTGTGTGTGTGTGTGTGTGTGTGTGTGTGTGTGTGTGTGTGTGTGTGTGTGTGTGTGTGTGTGTGTGTGTGTGTGTGTGTGTGTGTGTGTGTGCGTGTGTTTGTGTGTGTGTGTGTGTGTGTGTGTGTTTGTTTATGTGTGTGTGTATGTGTGTGTGCGTGTGTGTGTGTGTGTGTGTGTTTGTATATGTGTGTGTGTGTGTGTGTGTGTGTGTGTGTGTGTGTGTGTGTGCGTGCGTGTGTGTGTGTGTGTGTGTGTGTGTGTGTGTTTGTATATGTGTGTGTGTGTGTGTGTGTGTGTGTGTGTACGTACCCGGAAGCAGTTCTTGAACTTCTTGCTGACGAAGTAGAGGATGATGGGGTTGATGCAGGAGTTGATGGTGGCCAGATTAATGCTCAGGTAATCAAACACCAGCAGGAAACTGACACACACACACAACAGACGACAACAACACAACACAATCATCATGCTGCTAAAATAACACACACGAGTTGATTTTATTCAAGCGGTGTGTGTGTGTGTTTGAGCCTGTTCATTTATTTGAGTGTGAGTGTGTATTTATGCATGTGTGTGCATATACAGTATGCATTTGTGTGTGTGGGTGTGTGTATGTGTGTGCATATGTATACAGTCCATGTGTGTGTACAATATGTGTGTATAGTATGTGTGTGTGTGTGTGTGTGTGTGTACAGTATGTGTGCATATACTGTAGTGTGTTTGAACATTGTGTGTATTTATGCATGTGTGTGTGTATATACAATATGCTTTTTGTGTGTGCATATGGATGTGTAAATGTTATACAGTCTGTGTGTATGTAGAGTATGTGTGTGTGTGTACAGGTATATTGTGTAAGTGTGTGTTTGTGTGTACTGTATATAGTATGTCTTTGTGTACAGTATGTGTGTGTTTATGCATGTGTGTGAATGTGTATAGAGTATGTGTGTGTGTGTGTGTGTGTGTGTTTACTTGAGCAGGTCGCAGCGGCCAACATCGTTCTGGAAGTACACCATCTTCTTCAGGATTCGACTCAGATGAAGAGGAAACCAGCAGAGAGCGAAGATCAGCACCAGAGAGAACACGGCTTTGGCCACCTCCCGCCTCTACACACACACACACACACACACACACATTTATATAAAAAACACACACATTTACATAAATGGACACATGCATATATGTATTTAAATGACACACACACCCCTAATATATATATAAACCAACTAACTGACACATACACGTGTGTATTAAATAGACAGAGACACACTTGTCTATATGAACAAAGACACACACTTATGTAAACAGACACACACAAATGTATACAGTATAAACACACACACACACACACACATCTATATAATCAGACACAAACATGTATAAACAGACGTGCGCGAACACACACACATGCGTCTATATATACAGATACAGACGTATATAAACAGACGCACACACACATTTATAGACAGACAGACACACACGTATTTAAATGCCGACACATACAGACACCTGCATATATATATATATATACACACACACACACACACACACACACACACACACACACACAAATATATGTATTGAAACACAAACACACGTATATAAACACACACGCTCACATACTGTATGTACAAAAACAAAGGTGCATATATAAATAAACGGACACATACACACACACACACACACACACACACACACAAGTGAATAAACGCAGATGCATATATAAACAGACACATGTTTACAGGCACACACACACACACACACACACACACACACACACACACACACGCGCGCGCACAGATGTATGTCTGTATGTTAGCAGTGGCCAGTGGTGTGTTCACCTGTTTGAGGTGTTCGCTCAGGGAGAACTTCAGACTGCCTTTCCGGTTACTGAGCATCTCGCAGGTCATGAGTGTGTAAAACACAGCCGTACAGAGCAGCGGCACGCAGAAATAAAAGCCGAACAACCACCACACCTTCACATCCCTGTAGAACTGCACACACACACACACACACACAGTGTTCAGTGTTTAATTATGATGAAACATTAATAGACATGCACTTCATTTACATGAGAGTTTATGTGTGTGTGTGTGTGTGTGTGTGTGTGTGTGTGTGTGTGTGTGTGTGTGTATGTACTTGTTTGTGTGAGAGTTTGAGCATGTGTGTGTGTTTTAGAATGTGTGTATCTATGCATGTGTTTGAGTGTAAGTGTATTTATGCATGTGTGTGCTTGGGTAAGAATATGTTTACACTATCCGGTGTGTGTGTGTGTGTGTGTGTGTGTGTGTGTGTGTGAGTGAGAGTTTGATTTTGGGTGTGTGTTTAAGCACCAGTATCTGTGTGTACGTTTGTGTGTGTGTGTGTGTGTGTTATATTAACACCTATATATATGCACTGTAAACAAATACCCGCACACACACAATGTATAAGTATATAAACAGACACATGTATATAAACACACGCTGAACAGAGATCGAGTGTAATAATGATGAAACATCGATGGAGATGCAGTTCATTAACATAATTAACAAAATCAATCAAAGTGTGAAGTGTTATTGAATGTAATATTCTACATTATAAAGTGTATATGATGTTATTATAAATAAACGTTGTTGTGTTTTTGACCAATAGTTTCCTGAAATGTCCCTCACCGTCATGAAGGGCGTCTCTGGCTTCAGCATGCAGGTGCGGATGGTCACGTTATTGTACTCGAAACTGACCATCTTGAAGCCGATGGCCTCCGGGACGGCCAGAACCACAGCCAGCAGCCAGATGCAGATGATCTCCAGCGCTGTGGACACCGGGATCCCCACGCCCTGAACACGGTTCCACGAGGCCACAGCGCGGTACCTGACATGGTAAATCACACATCTGAGTCTGAATCAGCACAGAAATCATTCACACGGCTCTGGGTAAAAGTTTACACCCCCTTAAGTTTTCGAGCTTTTCGAGCTGTTCAGATTGACTCCTCTTTGGGGATGTTGGGGCTGTTTTTGCTCCACTGACCTCCATTATTGTCACATTTACTGATTGTAAAGTCATGACAGCAGATAAGCATGCATTCATGATTGGTGCTGGTTTTCGCTGCTGGGATTAAGTGGTTACGTGTCATTTTTTTTCTGTTATGTGTGTGTTTGTGTGTGTGTGTGTGTGTGTATATAAATACATTCATTAATTTTCTTTTCGGATTAGTCCCTTTATTTATTTGGGGTTTTCACAGTGGAATGAACTGCCAACTATTCCGGCATATGTTTTACACAGCAGAAAACCGGAAACAGGAAACCGGAGCACCCACGTCAACACGGGGAGAACATGCAAACTCCACACAGAAACACCAACTGACCCAGCCGGGACTTGAATCAGTGACCTTCTTATTGTGAGGCCATGGTGCTAACCAGTGCACCACCTGCTGTTTATACAGTGCATCTGGAAAGTGTTGATAGTGCTTCACTTTCTCCACATTTGTTTGTGTCACAACCTTATTCCAAAATGGATTCAATTGATTGATTTCCTCAACATTCTACACACAATCCCCCATAATGACCATGTGGAAACAGAGTTTAGAAATTGTTGCAAATTATTTTAAATAAAAGACCAGTAAAATCAGATGTACATCAGTGTTCACAGCCTTTGCTCAATACTTTGTTGATGCTCCTTTGGCAGTGATTACAGCCTCAAGTCTTGTTAAATAGGATGCCACAAGCTCTGCGCCCCTGTCTTTGGGAATGTTTGCCCGTTCCTCTTTGCAGGACCTCTCAAGCTCTATCAGGCTGGATGGGAAGCGACGGTGTACAGCCATCTTCAGATCTCTCCAGAGATGTTCAATTGGATTTAGGTCTGGGCTCTGGTTGGGCCACTCAAGGACATTCACTGAGTTGTTATTGGGCTATTCCATTGATATTCTGGCGGTGTGCTTGTGGCGAGGGGGCTTGGCCGAGAGCCGTGGGAATGGAATGAGGCTGCCGCGTAAGTGGATGCACCTGTGGTGCGCACTGGCCTCGAATCCCACGGAAGGAGCTCTGGAGTATAAAAGGAGGAACGATGGCAGAGGAAGCCGAGAGAGGACCGAGCCCGGGCATATTGTTTTACTTTAGCTTTCAGTTTGATGGCAGTCTCCGTGAGGAGCTGCCGTCCGTTTGTTTTGGTTTAGAAGGCAGTCTCAGTGAGGAGCCCGAGAATTAACCCGAGTGGGGGAGAAACCCGTTCGTCTGCCCAGAGTGCCGGGGTGGCCTGAGGCTGGCGAGGAAAGGATCTGCCTGCTGCCGTCTCCCAGCATAGGGAGGAGCAGGGGACGCGGGGCTCACCACCAGAAGGGAAAGTGCTGAAGGGAGCCATCCCTCGCCGCGATCCGCCATGATGCCGTAGCCTGCATCCATCCACCAAAGTGGGAGCGGAGCAGGAGACCAGAGATGCCGCCAGCCAGCCAGGAGAACCGCCACCGTATACCAGAAGACAGATGGGTGGATAGATTCCTCCACAGGGCTCCCAACACGTCGCCACATCTCTCAGCTGGTGGATGACCGAGTGGCAGCGTGTCTGGAGAACCGAACCCCAATTTTTTTTTCTTTTTCCTCTCTCCCCTTTCTCGGTCTACTCTGTCTTTCCCCCTTTTTTTCCATCTCCTTTTCTCTCTGCCTGTCTCATATAGGTCTCGCGGGTGCTGTGGCGCCAAACCACTGCGTCAGTTCTCCGCCTCCTCCTTCCCGGCGGCCAAAGAGCCGTAAACTTCATTACAGTGCTTTGGGTCATTGTCCTGCTGGAAGATGAAGCGTCGCCCCAGTCTGAGGTGGAGAGCACTCTTGTGCAGGTCTTCATTCAGGATGTCTCTGTACATCGCTGCATTCATCTTTCCCTCTATCCTGACTAGTCTTCCAGCTCCTGCTGCTGAAACACATCCCCACAGCATGATGCCAACACCACCATGCTTCACTGTAGGGATGCTGTTAGCCTGCTGATGAGCGCTGCCTGCTGTTCTCCACACGTAACGCCTGGCGTTCACTCCAAACAGTTCAGTTTGAGTCTCATCAGAGCAGAGAGTTTAGTTTCTGATGCTCTGAGAGTCCTGCAGATGGTAAAGTCCAGGCGGGGAGTGTCTTCCGTCTGCCCGCTCTACCATACAGATGCCTGATTGGTGGATTGCTGTTCTTCTGTAAGGTTCTCCTCTCTCCACAGAAGAACGCTGGAGCTCAGACAGAGTGACCATCGGGTTATTGATCACCTCCCTGACTGAGGCTCTTCTCCCCCGATCGCTCAGCTTAGATGGCCGGCCAGCTCTAGGAAGAGTCCTGGTGGTTAAACATCTTCCACTTATGGATGATGGAGGCCGCTGTGCTCACTGGAGCTTTCAGAGCAGCAGAAATGTTTCTGTAAGCTTCCCCAGCCTTGTGCCTCCAGACAATCCTGTCTCTGAGGTCTACAGACAGTTCCTTTGTCTTCATGCTTGGTTTGAGCTTTGGCATGCACTGTCAACCCTGGGCCCTTATATAGACAGGTGTAGCCTTTTCAGATCATGTCCAATCAGCTGAATTGAGCACAGGTGAACTCCAATGAAGCTGCTGGAACATCTCAAGAGTGAATCAGAACCTGAGCTCAGTGTAGAGCTTCACGCCAAAGCCTGTGAATACTGATGTACATGTGATTTTACAGGTTTTTATCTTTAATAAATTTGCAGCAATTTCTAAACTCTGTTTTACATGGTCATTATGGGGGATTGTGTGTAGAATGTTGAGGAAATCAATCAATTTAATCCATTTTGGAATGAGACTGTAACATAAAGAAATGTGGAAAAAGTGAAGCGCTATCAACACTTTCCAGATGCACTGTATATATATATATATAGTTCATTTTCCTAAAAACACAGTAATGGGGATGTGTGTTTGTGTGTGTTCACCTGTCCACACTGAGCGCACACAGATTGAGCACTGTTATCCCCACTGAAGCCTTCTGGAGGAACGGCATGAGTTTACAGAGGAACAGACCGAACACACTGTCATCAAACGGCCACCGCATCGCCAGCAGCTGAAACACACACACACACACACACACACACACACACACACACACACACACACACACACACACACACACACACACACACACACACACACACACACACACACATACACACACACACACACACACACACACGATGAGTGTTACACTGATAACTGTCCTAAAATAAGTTGCACACACATAAGTTGTGTGTGTGTGTGTGTGTGTGTGTGTGTGTGTGTGGAGAGGGGGATATATATGTATAGATATGAATAAATGTGTGTGTGTGTGTGTGTGTGTGTATAAATGTGTGTGTCTGGGGGAGTGTGTGTGTGTGTGTGTCTCCACCTTGTACACATTGATAGGGATGTCTATGGTGGTGGTGTGTGTGTGTGTGTGTGTGTGTGTGTGTGTGTGCGTGTGTGTGTGTGTGTGTGTGTGTGTGTGTGTGTGTGTGTGTGTGTGTGTCTCCACCTTGTACACATTAATGGGGATGTCTATGGTGATGTATATGAGGTCTCCGAGGGCGAGGCTGGCGATCAGGGCGTTGGGGCCGTTCCTCATGCTCCTGTTCTGGCAGATGATCCTCAGTAAAGTCCCGTTTCCCACAATTCCCACCACAAAGATGGCGCAGGACAGCAGCGTGTTCACGTACTTGAACACACCCTCCATGTAAGTCCTCCTCAGGCAGGCGGGGGGCAGAGGTCGCGCACGCAGGTCAGAGGTCACGCGCCCCGACGACCCCCCAGGGTCACGCCGGCCGGACGCAGCAGAGGAGTTTGATTGACAGCTCCCACGGCCAATCAGCAGGCAGGATGAGGTCATCATCAGAAGGAGGATCCTAAAGGCCGTCATTGGAGATCAAAGGCTGTGATTGTGGAGGATCTACAAAGAGGAACTGTTCTCAGGTCAGTATAATGACACCATTATATGAGCCCTTCACTCCTAAAACACTCCTAGAGTAATCAATAACTGTCCTGAGCAGAGGAATACTGAGGGAAAGGGTGTTGAGACATTAAAAATCGTATAATACATCTTTAAATAAAAACATTTCAACAATAAATAAAATAAAATAGATCTGTTGATGTGTTGAAACTTTTATGTATTGTACTTTCTCTATATTATGTTTATAGAAATGTGTATCATTAAAGTCATTAAAGATCAACTAATGAAAATTTTAATGATCCTTTTAGCATCAATAATCTCTCACAGGGGGTCTGCGGGGTCTTAAAAAGTATTAAAAGTTGATAAATCAATTATAAAATATATAAAGTTTTAGGCCCTTAAAAGTTATTAAAAACTCTTTTTTTTAAAGATTTATTTATCAATTTTTTCAATTTATTAAAAAAAAAAAAAAAATAATAATATATATATATATATATATATATATATATATA